AGTTCACTGAACTGTTAGTGTTCGGTATATCACCAAATGAAATGTAATTTTTTCTCTTTCTATTGTATTTTTCATTCACATTTACCCTTTCTTTTTCTGTAAGTCGGCAACCTTCTACTATCTGGGCATTGCAGAGCTGCTGCTAAGTTTCTCATGGTGTTTTCATTGCAAAACCTGCTTTCCAAGAGGAAGGTTAACTTGGTAATTTTGATTTATGCCAAGCTATGAAGTAGACTAGACACTCACAGTCCAATCCCTTTATAAGATTCCACTTGAACTTATTTGTCCACGTTGATTGAAAGTACACGAAAATCAAAGCTGAAGTCCAACGAGTTTCTCATTCATGTGATAACATAACAGAACTAAACAATGTTCACATTTGGGATTCTGACGTTTTACTTTTCTTTTGGCCCCAGCAAGCCAGTATTTATTTATTTATTTATTTATTTATTTATTTATTTTGGTTTTTTGATACAGGGTTTCTCTGTGGCTTTTGGAGGCTGTCCTGGAACTAGCTCTTGTAGACCAGGCTGGTCTCGAACTCACAGAGATCCACCTGCCTCTGCCTCCCGAGTGCTGGGATTAAAGGCGTGCACCAACACCTGGCTAAGCCAGTTTTTAAAAATGTATTTTTTAAATTTTTTGAGATTATTGTTTAATTTCATCAAGTCTTAAAAGTTACAATAAAAATGTCACAGGTGAAAGTTTTATACAGAAGACTGTTAAGAGCTGTTTGTTTTACATGTGGGAGGTAAATGGTAAGAATTGTATTTCACTCTGGAAATTTAACAAAGTACACTCATGTTAAAAGCATGACATTCATATCAAAACAATATATTTTTATCTTATTAAAAATTGAATTTCCTTTAGAAAACATGAATAGTGCAGAAAAGAGAAGAAAACATTTAAATGAATCTACCAAGGGAAATGAGATGCATTTGATACCTGGTGTCAGTCGTCCCCAAAGTTGAGAAGCTTCCTGTGGAAAACCCACCTGAATACTGACAGTAACCCTGTCTGCATGGTCAAAGCACCCAGCCTTTGTACCAGATGCTTCCATCTTCCTTCTGTAATTTTACGTGTACTTCCGTGTGGCCTGGCACACACTGCAGGGTGACACTGAGGCCTCTTTGTCACCCTCCCAGTACCAGGGTCTTTGATGTGCACTGCAATTTGTTCCATGCTGGAGAATCTCCCCACATGGATTCCACAATGCTACCTCCAATTCCTTTTCTTATATTTGTCTCTTGCCTTCAAATTCTCTTATTCAGACTTCAGATTGGTGTCTGTGCTTATACTGTTTTCATTTGAAAAGGCAGAAAACCCAAATGGTAGTATACATAAACAGCAGGATACTTATTGACTATGTAATAAGAGGTCTGGAGCTGGAGTGGTGACTCAAATACGAAAGCAGGAACCTTGAGAATTTCCATTCTTCTCTTCTGTCAACTGTCTCTGTTAGCAATGCCTTGTTTCCTGGTTCCTACTTACAATGCAACCATCTTGGTCTGAGGAGTCAAGAGGCAGAGGTGAAAAGAGCCTCCTGCCTTAAAAACAATGATTTCATTAAAAATATATAATTTAGGGTTTCCCCATAAAAACAAGTGTTTTTTTTTTCTTTTTTATACATAGCTTAGATTTTCCATTGCTGTGATGAAACAGAGACCAAAAGCAACTTGGAAGGAAAGGGTTTATTTGGTTCACACCTCCAAATCACCTTTCATCGTTGAAGGAAGTCAGGACACTCACATCCAGTCATCACTGAAGCATTTGGGGCAGGAACACAAACAGGCCAGAGCCCTGGAGACAAGAGTTGATGCAGAGGCCATGGAAGGGAGCTGCTTACTGGCTTGTTCCTCATGGCTTGCTCAGCATGCTTTCTTAGAGAACACAGGACCACCAGCCCAGGGATGGCCCCACCCACTATGGGTTAGCTTTTACCACTAATTAAGAAAATGTCCTGCAGATTTGCCTACAGCCCAATCTTATGGAGACATTTTCTCAGTTGAAGTCCCTTCCTCCCCCTTCCTCCTCTCAGATGACTCTAGTCTGTGTCAAGTTGACATAAAATTAGCCATCAAATTTTATTTTCTCGTGTAAGTGTGTGTGTGTGTGTGTGTGTGTGTGTGTGTGTGTGTGTGTGTGTGTGTGTAGACCCACAAATGTTAGAAGAGGGCACAGGATTCAATGGAGCTAGAGTTTCAGGTAGTTGTGATCCAGTGATATACCTGCTATGAATTCAGAAAACTAAACTTGGCTCTCCTGGAAGACCAGTAAGCTCTCTCAACTGGTCAGCTCTCCCATGTTCCTCTTGCTTTTTAATCAGGATAAATAGTTCTTAGAAATTTCATCTTAACTCATTTTGGTCAGAAATGGTTCCTCCACCCCCACTCCTTAATATTTAACTGAACAGGAAAAGGATGGCCAATAGGATAGCCTACAGTGACTTAGGCCAAATGAGATTCTTTCCTTGGGTACATACATGACGCACAAATGCATTTCTCAGGGTGATTGACAGGAGCTACCCAATTTGCCTGCCACCTGTGGTTGCTAACACCAAACTGTTTTCTCTAAATCTTGAAGTCTCTAAAGTTCCATCTCTATTATGGCCCCAAGGGTTCAGCAAACCAGCTGGGGTAGGGAAGTGTGATGGAAACAGAACTAGTCAATACATGCATTTCCAACAAGACCAACCTCAGAGTTTCAATGATTCTTCCTGTCTACCCAACCAAGCACCGTACCATGCACATCCATTCTTCAAAACGTATCTTCATATTCTTCCCATTTCCCACTGTCTTTGTTCAAGTCTCAAACACCTAAAACCTTTACATGGTGACAGAGCACTAGGGGCACCTCCTCGTGAATTTTTTCTTGCTTCTCTCTTACCTTCCTCTTTCTAAGTCATAGGTGCTTTCTTATTTCTAGTCAGGGTTTTTAAAAATGAATTTCTAGCAGACCACGTGCTGATTTCCACTACCTCATCAAGGTTTTGCCCCAAGGTTTTCACACTACTTCAAACAATGCTTTATTACACAATAAGTGGACTAGGCAAATTACCTAATTCTTTGGTATGACTAGAGTTCAGAAACCAATCCCAAACTGT